GGCGGAGCCCCAGCCGGTGCCGGGGTGTGCGGCAGCGGCGTGCGGGGCTGTGCGGGGCTGTGCGGCAGCGGCGAAGCCCTCTAGCTGCGGCAGAACCGTACTTCACGTCGGTGGCCGGAGACCCCGCGCTGGCTGCCTGCTGTCCCCCCCCAGCCCCTCGGGGCTCGCTAAAGGAGAGCCGAGCGCCGCCACCACCCCTCCTCTGCCGCCCCGTCCTCCCGCCGTGATTGCTTCTCCTGCCGGTTGGAGATCGCAGGGCAGGAACTCTCTCCTCTCGCTTCTCCTCGCTGCATTTTCCCAGGGCACAGCCCTTCCCACTCCCCCAGCAAGGGAAAGACCCGCTGCCAGCCAGCAGAGTTTAAAGGAAAAGGATAAATGGGGTTTCTTGCTGCTGAGGGGTCAGGCAGCCCGGCCTGGGGCTGTATCCCAGGTGCAGGCAGCTCTTCGCTGGCTCAGCCAGTTATTTTTCTGCCCTTCTCCTTAAGGACCCAGGTGAGCTCTTGATTTGCTTCACACACACCTGGGCAGCACTCTGGTTAACGGACTTAATCTGGGTTTGCACCACCACAGCGGGACTCAACACTGCAGCCCATCTTCCACCCCCCACCCCTCCTGCCCAGGAGGGCACCTGTGCTGCTCCCCCACACTCTGGCAGCCCTGTACTGTCTCCCCACTCGCCCCAAATTTCCCCAAGTGCCCTCCCAGTTGCTCCCCCAGCTCAGGAGCACCCAGTACCAGGACAACTGCTAGCAGATTCATGCATGGCTGAAGCCTGGTGCAGCCTGGGGGGGACCTGCTAGAGTATGGGCAGGGATCTGCTACAGAGTGGGGGCCTCAGCCTGTCTCCAGAATGTCAGCTGGAGCGCAGAGTTGCTGCTGTGAACACAGAGATGCCTGGGGAAAAGGTGTCCCTGTTGGCCAGACCCAGCCAGCATAGCGTAAGGGGGGTCTGAGAAGGGAATGGTCCATTGCCATGTCCCTGGTGAGTGGGATAGTCAGGAAAGGGCTTGGGACACAGCAAAGGAGTTTTGGCATCTCCATCACCCAAGGTTCATCAGTCCAGGTTGGAGGCATCCTTTGGGAATGGCCTCAGCATGTGATACCCTGCTTTGGGGCAAAGGGACAGAGCAGGTGACTTGTAGTGGCTCCTCCAGCTCTCTGACAGCTCCAGCCAAAATCCCAGAGGATGGGAAGCAAAGCCCTGTTGTGTGCTCCAGGATGTTGGGTTGTTTGCAAGCACAGCCTGGGTCCCCAGTCCTGGCTGGGTGTGGGGTGAGCTGCAGCCCTGTGAGGAGGCAGGGGAGGCAGTGAGACTCGCCGTTGCATGGCTTGGAACAAGGAGGATTGGTGGCAATCACCTTTCCTGGGTGAGAGTCCCCATAAGTCCTTGCACCCTAAGGAGCCTGTGGGGGCATGGTGAGATGGAACACAGTCCACTGCTGGCTGCCCACTTTCCTGGCCCTGATATTAACCTCAGTTACCAGAGCCCATGCAGCCCTGTCCAGCCAGCACGCACTAATTAAAGGCAAACAAAGAGGGCCTCATCACACAAGGACAGCCTTTTGGCAAGGCTGGAGGGGCTGTGGACATGGCAGGAAGTGAGACATGGGCTTGAAACCCTTTCTCTCCACACCATGGGGGAGCCTGAAAGAAAAACTTGGTTGGTGGATGAAGCATCTTCATCCATGGCTTGCCAAGGCCTGAAGAACTGCCTCAGCTTTATGCCATGCCACGGTGCCAGAGCGCCTGGCAGAAGGCGAGCGGGGAGGATGGCTAATGGAAGCAGCCCTGCCACTGCCGTGTGTGTTCTCATCTCCACCACAGCCACCCCTGTCCAGCTGCTGTCCTCAGCCCGGGGCAGCCACTCTGTCTTCGCGGGGGCCACTCACATCCCTGGATTAACATGCAGGCGCTGCGATGGCCCGGCGGAGCCGGGGGGAATTAGCCCTCAACAACTTTTACAGATACACTACTTAGCAGCAGAGCTGCAGCACTGTTTCTGCTGCTTTAACAATGATAAGGCAACATTAGCATCCCAAATCAAAGCCTCTCTGACCTCAGGCAGCTCTGAGAATAAATGCATGCATGCACATATATTATACGTGCGTGCCAGTGCTTATGGAAGTATGGTGAAAACCAGCCTAAGGGACATGGTTTGGGACTTTGATTTATAACTGCAGCCATCTGGGGCAGAGTGGTGAGGGGCAGTGTCCCTGGGAGGTGACATGAGGCAAAAGGGCTGCGTGACCTGAAGGAGTCGGTCCGAGATGAACCACCTCTGCGGCACTGAGGAGAAGGAGCTGGTCAGAAACTTTCCTGCCCAGAGGAGGAAAAGGGACAGAGACTGAAGGGAGGGAGTGCAGCAAAATGCACAGAGCCTCGTGCTCCCCTGGAACTTCTTGTCTTTATGCATCTGCTGGGCTGAATGAGAGGCAAATGGATATCGAAACGGTCCTTTGCTCTCAACTGCAAGGGAGACCTCTGGCAAGAGCCCATCCAGCAGAAGAAAATGAGATATCATTACGTTAAATATAAGCTCAGGCAGTATCACATTGTACTTGTTATACCAGTTAAATGGTGCTCCTCTTCAAAAAATAGTTAGAAAAAATATTGCCATAAACATAAAATACGCGGGGAAAAGGCTGTGCTTGTGTTTCAGGACTGCCTCGCACGGGAAGGTGGGGTTTTGTTTTTGATTATGTTCCCTCAAACATTAAAAACTCCCTGCCAATATGTCCTGAGCTTCACATGCTTCATCTAACTACAGACATAGCAACAGATAAATACGCCACGACAAATTTGGTAACATTACTTTATTGATGGCCAAAAAAAAAAAACCAAGCCAGATCACTTGAGACTCGAGACTGAAAGCCTGAACTCCTGCCAAACAGTTGCAAGCGGAGAGCTGAGATGAAAGATTTCACACCAGAAAGGGACAGAAACTATTAAAACCCCCAATAATTGGAAGGTCTCCGTGAAGGTGAGGACTCAGCTGCAGAGCATCCCCAAAGATGCAGAAACAGGGAGCGGAGACACCATGAAAGGGAAACAAATCACACTTGAGATGACTGGACGTTGCTGCTCGGTGGCTGCATCAGCAGGACCAGAGGACAACAGGCAGGACCCACCTGTCAGGGACACACAGTGTGCCTTGCACCAGCAAAATGAGTGGGGGGATTTGAAGTATCTATTTATGATGACAGGGGAGAGCACTGAACAGATTAAAGTTACATTTGCAGCTATTAAAAATGATCAGATTAGTGAAATCTAGAGACGAGAGAGAAGTTTCTGAGGGATCAGCCAAATCTAATTAATTGGGCAGCGTGATGGGAGAAGAAATTAAGCGTGGACAAGGAGAAGGTAAAGCATATTGGAAGGAACAACTACAAGTCTTTATAATCACTAGTGATTTCCAAATTAACTGGAAGCATGAAGGGTAAAAAAAGATGTGGGTGTATCTGTGGACAATAGAGTGAAAACCATCTGGTTAATGTACAGTGGTGAGGAAAAAAAAAACCCAACATGCTGTCAGATTGCTTTCATAGAGTGATACAGAAAATAATGAAAATATTACAGTACCGTGTTGGTAGTGACTCAGCTGTTATGGATAAGTTGAGGTTTTTCAATTAGGAGACAGATTCAGATCATTTATTGTGAAAAATACAGTTAAAAAGAATTAAAGTCTTCTGTAAAAAAGAAGCACCAAGCCCTGGAGAGCGGAATGAAGTTTTTAAGCGTTTACGAGGAATTGTGGCCGTTCAGGAGGCAGCAGTAAGCAATGTGTAAGCTGCAGGTCCCTTACAAAACATAGCACCCCACATCAGATTTTATCACGCCTCTGATATGATTAGCACCTGATAACAGAGTTGTCTCCAACTTCCCGTGTAGTTAAAGCTCCTGAGAAGCCTGTGTCTACGATATATTTGAATAGCATCCTTCTGGGATTAGTGTCATTTTCCTCCCTCTCAGTAAATGCTTCTGAGGAGGCTGAAGACTAAACTGCCTCAATGCGGAAAAATCCACGAGGAAGTCCCTTCTTCCCCCCCAGCTTGCTCCCCGTGGCCCCAACACTGTCTCGTGTGGCCGTGTTGAAGTGGGGGGGGATCTCTCTGTTCAGGTTGCTCAGATCCAGGCACTTTTCTTCAGCAGATGATGGCTGGGGGAAGGCAGATGCCTTTGGGAAGCGATTCACAGCACCTGAATTCTGCAGTAATTAAGCACTCAGTTGATACGCTGTGAACTGCCATCCAGTGGGACCTTCTCCTCGGTTCATCTAGGGAGCCTTGTTGGATGTCTAAAATATGTGGCAGCATCTCCAGCTCCTCACAGCGTAGGAAACTCCCATCCACCTGAACAGTAGCTTGGATGCCCGTCCCACTTAGGACGACAGGACAAGGAGGTCATTATGGAAAAACGCAAGTCCTCATGAGGGCAAGAGACTTTTATGAATTCCAAATCCAGAGCTCATGCTCCTGGAGCAGAGCTAGCCGAGGTGTAGGCTGGGAGAGCCAGGGAGCGGTGTGGGATGTACAGGAGGGAGAAGGAGGTGGTGTGTATGGGTGCATGCACGTCATGTAGAGGATGTGTTCAGGCAAATAGCGGACATCTGGAGGATGAGCAGGGTAGGGAAGGGAACCCTGTGTGCTGTCTAGCTGCTTTGCATCGCTCTGGCAAAGCAAAGCAGCTCTAAACCCAGAATAGCTGGTCCATATGCTTCGACTGCTTTCGCCTGCAGCCGGAGCCTTGTGGTAAATCTGGCCGTGAAAGATAACACTTTCTTAAAAAAACAAAGCTGAGCTGGTGTGACTACCTGTTTGCCGGGGATGACCTCGGTACGGTCCTTCCAGTCTGATGTGTTGTGACTCTGCCACCATGTAGTGTTTGGATGGTGTCACTGAATGGCAGAGCTGAGATTGCTGTTGAAGGTGCAACTCTTGAGTTATAAAGAAAATCAAGGTGAAAAAGCCACTGAACCTTAAGTAAACACAACCCCAAACTTGTACTCCTGTGTATCCTGCACCAAAAAAGCTCAGTGAGCTTCAGCTGTACAAAATTTAGACGTGTTTGGGCCGAGGCAGAGTGTTTGAGACCTGCCTGTGCACTTCTGCATCCTATTATGTTGAATTTAGGGCATAAATGGAAGATTTCACTCTGACATAATTCTTCCTAAGAATAGAATTCCGTGACACGTGCTTGCCTGGCAAAGCTTGCCCTGGTCCCATCAGGGTGGAAGTGAGGTCAATGGCTGATGGACATGATTCAGCCATCCTGCTACCAGGGCTGGTTCTGCTGCTTGTACAAGCTGCAGCCATTAGTCCCCGGGGCCTTGGAGGGCAAGAAG